TATGTCAGGAATGCCTAGACAAAGTATTTCCATTTGGCACTGCCATTCTAGAGAACAAAACAGATGGTAAACAGTGGAGAGACAGTAGGCCCTACATCTGCAGCTTTGCTTTCTATGAGATCTACAGTCTTAGGATATTGAATGGAAATTTCCAGAAACAAGCATTGCAAAACTTTTCAATTGTGCACTATTATGAGTTGCATGATAAGATTTGGAATTGTTCCAGTCCTTCCCACCTCGTCTTGAGTTGTTCCTTTGCCCAGCTGATCGCTACCCTCCTGATCTCACATAGGACTGGTCTTCTGTTTGTCTTAGAGTTCATGTTCAGATGGCCCTTTTCAAGTTGGTTGTCTAGCATTGCTACATGCCTGTGCCTAGGCCATCTATGTGCACAGCACAGTGGGATGTTTGGAGAATAACCCTGTTTGCTTAACTTCCATTACATATATTACTGTAGTAGTTCCACTTCACTGTTTATTTCTGTTGTCACACTTACTGTGACTGACTTGCAAGTTAAACCTTTATGGGTTTATGTGTGTAATAACAGCCATGCAAGGCTCAGCGCTATTCACAGTGGAAGATGTTCCCACAGCACAGTGAGAATACAGATGATTCTGACCAAAGGCTTAAGAGAAATCTGTCATGAGCTGGGGTGGTTCTCACAGAGGCCCTAAGAGAAGAGGAAGAAGAAGCTCGTGGAAATGCCTCCCAGACAGAAGCTTGTCTGAACACCTGGCAGAGGTATTGCTGAGAGGTCCAGGAAATCTGACTGGATGCATGGCATTCCGGAGACCAGAACTTAAAAACCCAGTCCTGGTCAGGCATGCTGGTGTGTTCCTGTAAGGTGTAGATGAAAGCCCAAGACAGTTCTGGACACAGTTGGTTTAGAACAAGTATGAACTTTGTAGATAGGAGTGCTGAGTGAACAGTTCTTAGACAAACGCAGCCCAGGGCTGGAGACAGTAATTCTGCCTTCATCAAAGGAATAGAATGTGAAACCTTTGTCCTCAGAAAAGGCTGAGGAGTGCCTGTCAGACAGCTAGAGGTGGGAAGGAAGTTGAAGGGTATGGCATGAATGGTTCATAGCTCCAGGGCAGAGTCATAGTGGGCTCCCTCCCCACCCCCACCCCCTCACTTGACCTCAGGGATAGCCAGAAGGTGGGTCACTGCTGCTTCTCAGAAGCCTTCAGCTGGTGACCTGTGAGCTTTTTAACATCTCTCCTTTAATGTCATAGGTGTGTCTTAGGAAGGTCTCTGGAACCTCAGCACACACCTGTGCTCCGGCTCAGCAAGAGTTGAAGGGCTCTGGATGATGCTTAAACAGGGCTTAAAGGGCTGGCAGTGTGACTCTTGGTAGAATGGCTGCTAGCAAATATAAAGCCCTGGGGTCAGTCTCCAACACTGTATAAACTGAGGGTGCTGACACACACCTGTAATTCCAGTGCAGGGGAGTTAAAGACAGGATTATCAGGAGATCAAGGCCATCCTCCACAGTACAGCAAATTCAAGAAAAGACTAAAAGATGATTAGGCAGACTGCCAGTCTTGCCTTGGGCTGTTGCACATGGAAGCTTGTGCACAGCTGGAGAAGTGCTTCTGAGTGGGCCTCCCAGTCAGCAGCTCACCTCTCCGTGTTGCTGTCTAGATGGCCTGGGCACCTGGTGGAGTCCTGTCAGTTTACTGGCTATGGGTCTACAGCTCTCATGAAGTGTATTTACTAGCATGATGGCACATCATATTTTCACTCACTTGAGAACCCAGTCCTGGTCAGGCATGATAGTGTGTTCCTGTAGTCCTAGCTCCTCACTAAACTGAAGAAGGGTCCTCACTTGAGCCTAAGGCTTAGAGGCCAGCTGGGAACAGAACAAGACTCCATATCAAGATGGGAATATAAGCAAAGCCCTTGGAAACCTCAGTTATAACATGCTGAGGCAGCAGAGGCTTCTTGGGGCATGTCCTGGGAACAGCAGCCTAGCATTAGAGAATATGGGCAGTTCCCTGGGCCAGGCACTTTTCTTACATGGCACTGCTACCCACGTCTTGTGTTGTAGGTGCCATGTTTTTGTTTTTTTTTTTTTTAAGTTTGTTGTTCTTTTTATGTGCATGATTGTTTTTCTGTATACATGTGTTCAGTGCCTATGGAGGCCAGAAGAGGGAGTTGGGTCCCCTGGAACTGGAGTTTTAGATCATTATGAGTTATAGATGGGTATGAGCTGGCCAGTGTGGGTGCTAGGAACCAAACTTGGATTCTCTTTAAGAGCAGTATGTGATCTTATCCACTGGGCCATCTCTCCAGCACCTTCTCTTTTTTCTTGTAATACCATCTTATTTAACCTTGTTATATTCTATATGTGACTTTCTGTATAATATTGTGAGATGTGTTTGAATGGACAGTTCAGTAGTATTAGGTACATTTACATTGTTACTTGGCTGGTTTCTGGCACCTTTATTATCTTGCAAAATACAAAACCTTAAATCTTTAGGTGGCTTTTTAATGTAAACTAAGATTTTGCAAAGATATTGCGAACATGATACTTGAGCTACTTAATTAAGTTTTATGAAAGATTCTACAGAAGGCTTTAAAGTGAGATTATAAAAAGTCAGATAGTATATTTGTAATTTACATTATAAAATCAGAAAGCCTGTGAGTATGTTTGTGGGGGTATTTCCATGTGTGGTGGGGGGAGGGATAAGGACTTTTGTTGGTACTTAATAGTGGCTTGGAAACCTGGGGTCAGCTGGTGACAAGGCTATAGACTCCACTGCTACAGAGTGGGTAGCCAAAGAGACTCTGAGCCAGGACTGGCTCGTGTGGGCTGTGGTTCAGCACCGGGTTATTTGAGAACAGCACAGCTAAGCTCTACCCTCTGAGTGCATCAGGAGCTTTCAAGAACTTGTCACTGTTTTGGAGATGTGCCTCCCTTTGGGCAGTAACAGGCATGCAGTCTTAGCATTGCAGGAGTTACCACAGGTGGTGTGGATACTCCCACGTCTGCCTGGGCGAGGGACTTCCAAAAACAGGAGCTAGTGGGTTAAACCTAAGAAGGGCCTCAAGACAAGCAGAGACACACTGCACATAGCAGAAGCAGAAGCAACAGAGTGAGGACTCATGTGTGCAGGATGAGCTAATGGGCTTAGGACCATTGAGAAGCCTGGCTCTTGCGCCATTGTTGGGGCTTGTCCATTGCTCTGGTGCCCTTAACAGGAAACAGCAGATCCAGCTTCCTCCTTAACACCTATTCATCCTTGACATTGTGCGTGGGACTCTGGGAACAGCAGTGTGATGAAGGGTGTGCATGACTCCAGCATGGGTCTTTTGAGTCTGTGTAGTGCCAGGATGTGTAACGCTTTATGCCAGAACACCACCACCTCTGGAGTCCTTTTGAGGTCACAGAAGTGTCCTCGCTGAGGCTTGAATTGAAATCTTGAGCATCGTCACATGGAGTAAGAGGTCAGTGGGAGGCAGATGCCACCTCTCCTTTGGTCTAGCCTCAGTAATCTTTGTTGTGCCCGTAGACCTGTTCACCAAACAGTTTGGTTTTGAAGCTTTGCTGCTGATTAAGTTGTAAGTGGTATTCTGTCCAGTGCTGTCTGGTGTTTGTAGGGGTAGCTCTCCAAGATACTGGGTTGGACATCTTGCTAGCACAACATCATGTTTCTTGACCAAACAAATACTGAGTGCTCAGTGCTGGAAAACAGGGGTGCCAATGAGAAGATCCGTCTTTCACCATGAGCTCCTCCTTGCCAGCCCTGCCATCTGAAGGGATGTATTAGGTGTCTGTGAGCAGAGGTAGAAAATGCCCAGGGCCACATAACCCATGCAGACACTTAGCTATTGCTGTTCCTGTGTACCAGAGTCTGTAATACTGAGTTGGGATGGCACTGCAGACTTCATGTGTGTGACATGCCTGATAAAAAGTGAGTCACACCACAACTGTTCCAACAGCATGAGGGGATTGCATACACATTTTCTGTCAGAGCCAGAAAGACTCATCTCCTCCCTCTGGGACAGTAATTACTCTACCATGATATTTACCTCAGTAGTGGCTATGTATTGCTGAGTCCACAGTGGTTTACCATGCTACCATTTCAGATTGAACAAGTGAAAATCAGTAAGAGTCCTTCGTTCCTATCCCCTAATGAAGAGGAAATTAATTCCCTCTGTAGACAGCATTGCTATTTATCTACAAGAGGATTAGAAGTGAAAACCCTGTGACTTCATTGAGCCTTCTTTGCTCAGTGCTGGTTTTGAACATTTTTCAAAAAGATGAGTAGGACCAAAAGAGTTGGCTAAGCAGGAAGAGCACATGCTGTTCTTGAAGAGGAGCTGGGTTTCCTAACGCCCACATGGCAGCTCACAACTTTCGGATCTCTAGTACCAGGGGATCTGACACCCTCTTCTGATCACTGCAGGCACCAGGCACACACATACATGCAGGCAAAATACTTGTACATCTAAATAATAAAATAAATAAATCCATAAAAATGTTTCAAGAAGATGGTTACCTTTCAGGACTGGTATTAGCACAGTAGGTTGCTGTCCTTTGTGCAGAAAGTGAGCAGGAGGCTGATACTGATGACTGTTGATTATAGGAAAGGCTAGAAGTTAGCTCCAGAGATGTTAGACTTCTGAACTGAATACAGTGGCTCCTTGCTGGGCATGTGGACAGCACAGTTTCTAAAGTGAACAATAGAGTGAAAAAAACAGATTCCAGAAAATGTAGCCAGTATCGGGGCGAGGGAGAGTTAGGGAGTTCACTCACTGTGTGATATCAGGTTACCTGACAAGCCAAGTGGGAAGAGGGCTATCCATCAGTTATTCCTGCAGAGAGAGGGAGTTTCACTCTGCATTTAGGGAGGACTTTCCCACCTGCACTTTGTACACAAGAAAGAAGTTGTGTTTATTTAGGGGAACTAAAACCTCAGCCTTTGGGGGACATTGCACTTTCACTCTGTGACACCTGTCATTGGCCTCTTGCTCACAAAACCTGTTTCTTACAGCAACCGTGGCAGCCATGTACTACAGCTACTACATGTTGCCAGATGGCACCTACTGCCTAGCACCACCTCCACCTGGGATCGATGTGGCCACTTACTACAGCACCCTTCCTGCTGGAGTGACTGTGTCCAGTTCGCCCAGTGTGACTACCACTGTACCACCACTTCCCGGGACCACACCTCCTCCACCCCCAACCACAGCTGAAACAAGCAGTGGGGTTACCTCCACAACCACCACCACAAGGTATGTGCTGTCTGTTCAGCATGGTGGTTGCTGCAGTGACCGGAGTTCTCCATAATTAGCATGATTATCATTCATATGCTATTGCCGCACACCTGTACTCGTAGCTTTGGAAGGATGAAACAAAAGGATGAAAAGTTCAAAGCCATGGCCAGGCAGGGTCAGGCAGTCTCTGAGATCATCTACACAGTGAGCCAGCCAAAGATAAACAATGAGTCCTTGTTGGGGTGGGGGAGTGGGTAGTTCAAGGCCAGCTAAATAATTACATTATGGGTATTCCCTGCACTGGGGAGGTGGAAACAAGAGGATCAGGAGTTCAAGGTATTCTTCAGTATAATTGGCTACAGAGCAAGACCCCATTTCAATACCAAAAACAGTTTTTAAGCAGTGAAATCTAGCCACATGTGAATGTGACTCTCAGGCAGCACCTGCTATCTGTTCCTTAATTCTGGGCTGCTCTGGTACAGTGTATTGACACCTCAGCTGGGCAGTGTTAAGCAGAGTCCAAGTGAGGCAGACTGAAACCATCAGAGCTCAAGGGGTTTCATACAGTTGGGTGAGGGAAGGGCTCTGTTGGCCACTCCTTGAGATATCACGTTATACAGTTGGCATCTAGTATAAAATCATTAATAGCAGAAGGACAGAGTGCTCAGCACCCCATGGAGGGTCGTCTGTGTGTGTCAGGTCTGTTAGAGGCTGCTGCAAAGCTTGACTAAAGCCCCCCTTTCTAACCATGCCTAGAAGTCAGATGTGGGCTGGGGGTAACACTAAGAACTAGATCACTAGCCTAGCCTGTGGGAGGAGTTGGGGAATGACACTTGAGGCCACACTGTTGAGACAGTGAACCAGTGAAGGATGTTGAGCCATGCTTGACAGCTGTTTTTAATGACTTTTCCTTCTTTTGTTCCTAAGAAGTAGCTCATAGTTAAAAATGAATGCTAATTGGGAGGAAGAATTGAACTTGTCTCTGAGACTTTGAACCTCATTCTTTAATAAATCCCACTGTCAGGTTTTTGTTTTTTTTGTTTTGTTTTTGTTTTTTTCTTTTCTTTTTTTTTTTTTTTTTGAGATAGGGTCTCACTGTATAACCTGGGCTCCAGTATTGGGCTTGCAAGGTGACACATGCAGCTTCCTGTATTGTCACTTCATCAGTGGTGATCTGGACCCTGTTAGTGCCCAGGAACTGGCTTCATTAGGTTGAGGGGCTTCTTGTCTTTAGAACAAGAGTCTTGTTCTTACGTGGCTGAACCGGAAAGGACCCTCCAACTGCCAATGCCAGGCTCAAGCTATGCCAAGTTCAGGGTTGCTCACCAGCTCTTCTCCACAGTGCGCTTGCTCCCGTGGCCATCATACCCCCGCCCCCTGACATCCAGCCTGTGATTGATAAGCTGGCAGAGTACGTCGCTAGAAACGGCCTTAAATTTGAGACCAGTGTTCGAGCCAAGAACGATCAGAGGTGAGATGAAGGGGTTTAAGTGTTGGGCTGGGGTGTGTTGGGCTGGCACTCATGAATTTCAGTGGCAGTGTTCGCCTGGCATTTATGACTTTCTGAGATCAAGCCCCGTTTTGAAAAAACAACAACGAAAACCTCAAAACATTTAAGCATGTCAAGTATATGAGATTTGGGGTTTTCATTTAGTATTCTTTAAATCCTGTCATGATTCCTTTGTGCTTTCATCTTCCCTAGAATATCTGTAACTAGACATATTTTTGTTCATCTTATTAAATTACTTAGAGTTGGAGAGGGTTCTTGTTGTTTTTATTGTGCAGTAAAAATGTAGGTGCTTGAAAGGCTGGAATTCATACTTCAAGGGTCCTTATCCCCTACACCTGGCAGTGTGTATAAAATGTGAGCTGCATTTTTACCTGTGATAGGACCCTGGAGAGTGGGTTAGCCCTCTGCCTGATACACATAGAATCTATGAAGTTGTTCTAATAAATTCTATGAGCTGTCCAGCACAGTGTAGACCACATGTAGAAACACTGAAGCCTGTGTGCAGGTCATGTTGAGTCACCAGGTCCTTTTCTGTTCACAGATTTGAGTTCCTTCAGCCCTGGCACCAGTACAACGCCTACTATGAGTTTAAAAAGCAGTTCTTTCTGCAGAAGGAAGGAGGTGGTAGCACACAGGTAGGAGCTGCAGGTGGGAAGGCATGGAGCTCTGAGACAGAAGGGACTTCCTGGATTTTCAAGTCTACAATATGTCTAACCCATCCCTTCAAGAGGTGAAGCTGTGTTAGGTCTTTTGAAACACCCACTTGTGCCTCGGTAACCATTTGTCCTGCATGTTCCAAACAAAAACCACTGTTGGCAGAGTGAAGGACATGGTCTCACCTTCAGTTCCTGGTCCTTCTGCCCCCGCCTCCCATGTGCAGGATGGCAGGTGTGCCAGTGTGCCTGGTTTGCTTTTGATTGCTCTGTAATGCTCCTTGTGGTGGGTATGCTGGACTCTGGCTGCCACAGGCACACCGTCCCTTGAACAGTTCTCTTGCACTAGCCGTACTTTGTCCTGTCCCTCACACTCTTGAGCTTATTCTGCTGGAAATAATTGCTGAGACTGAAGCATCTCGTTCCTCTGTAGGCAGTGGGGGACTATTCTGAATGTATTCTCAGTAACTAGGCTCCAAGAGAAGTTACTCCTCCCCCCATTTAGTCTGTCATATTAGAAAAATACAGGTAGGACTGGGGATGTAGCTCAGTGGCAGAGTGCTTGCCTAGCATATCAGAGGCCCTGGGTCCAGTACACACATGCACACACACACACACACACACACACACACACACACACACACACACAC